ACAAAAATAGCTTTTACAGCGTCCGGAACGCTCCACACAAACCAATGGCCGCGCTAGAAGAGCTGCAAGATGGCGCAGAGGAAGACGCCAGCGAGCTGCAGAGACCTCCACAGTCTGAAGCACCAGTGACCCAAGGGATCCTCCAAAGTATGCTAGACCGCATGCATGATAAACTACAGCACACATTTCAATCAGCCCTAAAAGAAATCAGGGCAGACATACAAGATCTGGGCGCCAGGACCTCAACGCTGGAGGACCAAATGGCGGACCAGACTGAAGTTTACAAGGAAATGCGGGCAGACCTGGAGGAGATGCATGACAACTTGGAAACCCTGGGAATTAAAATCGCAGACATGGAGGACAGATCACGGCGCAATAACATCAGGATCAGGGGCATAGCAGAATCGGTGAGCACAGCAGACCTCCATGCACACCTACAGAGCCTGTTTAAAGTCCTAGCGCCGGATCTACCTCAAGACCTGCTCCTGCTGGACAGATATCATCGAGTTCAAAAGCCTAAATTCTTAACCACGGATGCGCCAAGAGACGTGCTAGTGTGCTTGCATTATTTCCACGTTAAGGAGGACATTATGAGAGCAAGCAGACAACGCCAATCCCTCCCAGAGCCACACCAACGAACAACCATTTATGCAGACATCTCAGCCGCAACACTGAAAAAGAGCAAGACCTTTGCGGCTATTACAGAGCAACTGCGGCAACATAAGAAGCCATATCGATGGGGATTTCCGGTAAAGTTGCTCATCTCCCATGAAGGCACAATAACTGCCATCCATACCCCTGAAGCTGGCCTGAAAGCACTCCAGGATTGGGGAATACTTCCACCAACCACCACAGCTACCGCGACGGATCGCAGCGGTGTCACACCTACATGGCGGAAATTGCCCAGACGTAGGTAGACGGAGCAAGCACCGAAGAGAGCGGCAAGTAAAATAGAGAGACTTTGGGACTGTGTACGGCATAAGTGACACTTGTGATAATACAAAAGTGGGGGGGGCGGAAAACTCAGTTGCACTGGGCACACAAAGGGAATAGACGGACACCCTAGAGTTAAGGGTTTGCTACCAGCCCCACAATATCAATCGGCCCACAAACAGCAAGGGTGACTAGCTTATGGAAAGGCCGCAAAGGCTTCACACAGGAGTGGAAGCAATACTCTTCTTCCCCCAGGGCACCTTGGATAGGCGCCAAGCCAAGTATATGGCTGTTTTCACAGTTTTAGTTATGTTATGTTACTACCCCGTTTGTCAGCCAGAGAAGGCAAAACACAATGACCACCATCTCACCACTTTATCTAGGGAAAGAACCCCCCACGGGTTCGAAATGGCTGGGTAAGGCGGCAACCCCACACATAGACAATGGAACATATCAGGAACAGCTGGTACAAAATTATGAACCCCCATGAAAATATACACCCACAACACCAAAGGCCTAAATAGCCCTGCTAAACGCAGCTTACTACGCCGGGATTTGAAACAAAACTACCCGGACGTAGTGTGCCTACAAGAAACTCACTTTAAAACAAACTCACATTCCCCACTGTTCGTGCAAGACTTCCCGCACCAGTTCCATGCAACATATTCAAACAGGTCTAAGGGAGCCTCCATTCTTATTAGTAAGGATGTAGCATTTACCCTTTTACACCTGGAAGTGGACGAGGGAGGGAGATATGTCATGGTGGTGGGCGACTTCAATGACATCACGTACACGATCACAAACATCTATGCCCTTAACACAGGACAAAAGCATTTCCTCCATAACATAATCAAGAAACTGGAAACAAAACAAAAGGGGATTAGTATAATATCTGGGGACTTCAACCACGTAATGGACCCCACGGTAGACTCCACGGTATCGCCATCAGCACCCAGAATACGACCGCTCAAACGACAATGCAAAGCACTACAAAAACTACTCAACACACACCACTATTACGACGTGTGGCGGGCGACACACATCGGGGATAGGGGTTACACGTTCTTTTCCATTGTACATAATACATATTCTAGGATTGACGGCATACTAGTAATGGGACAACACTTAGGCCAAATAAAGGAATGCGACATCAAACA